AGCTTCTGAGGTGGAAGCGGCGGGTCGGGGCGGTTCAGGGCTCCTGAGGGTGTTGGTAGCTCCGCAGACGCCTCGGGGCCGCGTCCCGGCCCCGCTCGGGCCGCAGTGCCCAGCCGGGCCCTCGGGCCTCCTCCCTGGGGCAGCGAGAAGGTAGAGGAGCAGAAATCCCACCCACAAAGGCTCTGTGAGTTGAGAGGCAACAGAAGTAGCTCGGAGCCGGCCCGGACCCTCAGGTGCTGACTTCTGGCAAGTGTTCCTGTTCGGAGGGGCCGGTGTTGGGCAGAAAGGGGAAGCACGAGACAAGGACGGGCAGTGCGGGGTTGGAGAGGATGCCGGGTGTCCTCAGGGAGGGAAATCCCGGAAGCTTCTGAGGTGGAAGCGGCGGGTCGGGGCGGTTCAGGGCTCCTGAGGGTGTTGGTAGCTCCGCAGACGCCTCGGGGCCGCGTCCCGGCCCCGCTCGGGCCGCAGTGCCCAGCCGGGCCCTCGGGCCTCCTCCCTGGGGCAGCGAGAAGGTAGAGGAGCAGAAATCCCACCCACAAAGGCTCTGTGAGTTGAGAGGCAACAGAAGTAGCTCGGAGCCGGCCCGGACCCTCAGGTGCTGACTTCTGGCAAGTGTTCCTGTTCGGAGGGGCCAGTTTTGGGCAGAAAGGGGAAGCACGAGACAAGGACGGGCAGTGCGGGGTTGGAGAGGATGCCGGGTGTCCTCAGGGAGGGAAATCCCGGAAAATGTAGTGTTTCCCTTTCGAGTTTTCCTTCCGAAACGCACGGGATTTCTGTTTAGAAACCAGAAGTTCTTCTCCCCTCTTCCAAATACAAATTTTCATAGGTAAAAAGAACAAAACAAAAAAAGCCCCCAATAAACAAGAAAAACCCACCCGAACAGCAGAAGGTACAGCCAGATTTCGCCTTTTCCCCCTTAATGCTGAAATAAATTGGTCATTGCAATGCTTTGCAGCTCAACTCCAGCTGACTTTCACAATTACTTTCTCTTAGTTAACCACAAGAGTGCATCTTGGCAGAGGTCATCATAGTGCATGATTATAATAATTCTGTGTTTATTTTGCTCCCGGTGTATGAGAGGCCCAGTAACCACTGTATTACTGGTGTAGTAGATATAGAGGAGTATTATTGACAAACTTTGAATAACACTTCAAAAGCAGAGAAGAAGAGGGTACACTAGCTTAATTTCTTCTCTGAAATGTATGCTATGTTTTGATCACATGTGGTGTGACCTTGATATTTGGACATCCTAATAGCACTGATACTAAGTTGATGTAAATGTATAGAATGTTATTTTAATTGTATTAATGAGAACAAGGGAAGGGTTGGTTTGTTTGTTTTTACTACTGCTCTTTTGTCTTCCTTTCTCTGAAGCTTGAAAATCAAACAGATGGGAAACATCAAAAGCAGATTTGTCAAGTCGTTCTGGATCATTTTGAGAAGCAGTACACAAGGGAACTGGGAGATGCATGGACCAGTGTGAGGTCTGTTGTTCTGGGGAAACGGGAGAGGGAGTGGAGAGGTTCTGTTATTTTTTTAAAATGTTTCATAAAATAGCTCTGAAAAGAGTCATGGACTTTAACAACTGCTTCAGTTTAGATCCAGTATAGTGCTAGGACAGAAGAGCAAAACAACAGAAGACTAAAGCTTGGAATTTTTATTTTTCTCCTTGACATGATTCTTTTGGATGTGATGAACTTTGCGTTCTCCTGCGTGCTTATGCATTGCAGAAGAAGTATATGCACTGGATAAGCTTAGCTTATATACTTTTCAAAAGGAGTTTGAACAAAAGCAGTTGATCCTGGCGTGCATGAGGAGTGCTTCCGTGAAAATTGCCATGTTGTTTTGAAGGAGAAAGCATCCTGCAAGATCAGAATCTTAGAAATCAGGTGATTCCTTTGAGTCCTCTCTTTGGTTTAGCCAGATTGATTAAAAGGGAGTTTAAATAAGTACCTTCATTATTTTTTTAAAAAGCCAAAACTATAGATACACAGCATTAGTTTAAGTGAATCACCTTAGAAAATCATTTAGCCTGGATCAATGTGCACTTCTGTTTTAGGCAGTGAATGTTCCTGATGAGCATTTTGTGATACTAAATGAAATAGTACGGAGGGGAACTGAAATAGAAAATGGGGAAATCCATGAAAGAAAGGTCAGAAAAAGTGAACTGAAATATGAACAAACATTTTCCTCTCATACAAATACTGCTTTTTGACTGTCTTCCGGGAATATCTATTGTTTTAAGTTTTCCTGGCCCAGTGTTTGCAGAACACAAAAGGAAATTTAGAAAAGAACACTTGGAAAAACTGCATTTTATGGTGTTGTCTGGAATAACCACTGCAAAGCTAATGTGATTTTTTTTTTTGTTTTGTTTGTTGCTTTTTTTGGTAAAATTTACAATTAATATCACCGTTGTTCTTCAGTATATCTAGGAAGAATAAAGAACATCTTGTATTGGAAGGGGTTAGCATTTTAAATGCAATAATTAGAGAAAACAGTGGCTTGATTTCTTCTATAAAATTATTTCCCTGCATACTTAATCATATCTAATAAAAAATATTCCTTTTTGATTACATGAGTATCAACTAGTGGAGAGATTGTTACCCTTAAGTAAGAATAGTCTTCCTACACAGTAGAAAACTGATTTTATCTGCCATGTTTTTAAGTAGCTCTGCCTTTTCTCAATCTAGAGATGTACTCACATGCCCGTGGTGCTGGCAGTACGCCATCCTGCTTAACAAGTTCAGCCAATCTCCTGAGCTGGAGAACACCTTGCGTTTGAAGGGATATCATCCTGCCTTTCAAGGACCTTTGCCCTATCTTCCCTCATCGCTGAAGTGTTACATCAGGAGAACTCCAGGGAAGTTCCCTGCACAAAAACACCAGGCTGGTAAACTGAAGGAGTATTACCTGCTGAATGCTGCTTCACTGTTGCCAGTGTTGGCGTTAGAAGTGAAAGACGGGGAAGATGTCCTGGATCTCTGTGCTGCACCAGGGGGTAAATCAGTAGCTATACTGCAGTGTGCCTATCCAGGTAATGTATTGACGTGCTCTTAGAAGCTGATCCCTGGCTCCATGCCTGGACTATTTACAGTTGTGCCAATTTGCTGTACAAGATTTGGATTGGAAGCAAAAAATGAAACTAATTATTTTCCAAGTGGTTTCATGCTGTTTAATAATTGTTTTATGAGTTCTGTTTACCTAAAAGAGGATACAAGAAGCAGCAGTTATTTAAATATAGCTTACTGAAGACTGACAGACAAAAGTGGAGTACCTCTGTTTTCCTTCCTCCACTTGTTCCCTTATTACTAGTTTTCAAGAAGTTAGTTAAAATGCTTAGGATACACAAAACTGATGTTTTATTTATAAGTGTATTGATTTATTAATAAGGGCCATGTACTTAATTTAGACAGTGACTCAGGGAGCCCAGAAAGGCACACAATTTGGACTGATCTTTGGATATGGATCATGTTAAAAGTTTATTTTACTGTGGAAGTCTATTGCTAGACTAAGTATTTGCTAGTAAGTATTTATAGTTTCTCTGTCTGAGCTTGTTGAAATTTAGGGGGTTTATAAAAATTCAGCAGTGTTATAAAATGTGCAATAACAGGAGCACATAAGGAGTAAACTCTTATGGCAGTCATGGCAAAACAGTGTAACTTCTGAAATCGGTGCAACTCCTTGTATTTGCAAAAAAAAACCTAACAGAAAAATCATAGACTTATTTTAGGGTTCTTTTTTTTTTCATTATTTTCTAAGGTCAGTTTCACTGTAATGAATATGATGATTTGAGGTCAAGATGGCTGGAACAGACAATAGAATCCTTCATCCCACATCCTTTGATTGACTTAGTAACAGTCTCTAAACTGGATGGTAGACAATTTGGAGATCTAAATCCCAAATTATATGACAAGGTAACAATATTACTTATTAGCAATAAAAAAAGAAGCACGTTATAGCTGGCAAAGTTTAAGTGGCAAGACGTGGTTATATGCTCTGTTCTTTAGTCAGCAACTAAAGATTATTAAATAAACAGGCTAAAAATTTGCAGTGGAAGTGATAATACATGAACTTAAAACTCCAGTTCTATGACATCTTTTCATATTTCATTTTTAAAACATCCCAGAAGTATTTTTATCAGTTAATATTAGTCAAATCCCAACTAGAATGCAACGCTATTAATCTCAGTTCTACCTAACAAATGTTAATAAGTACTGCTGTTTTTTTTTCCTCGCTGTACTGCTTTGCTTTTTAATTTCCTTTATTTTTTCTGGCTCTCACAAAAATATCTTACCATCTAGGGGAACCAAGGTCATTACAAGATTCGCAGAGCCTCAGGAATCACTTTATTAAGCCTGTTGTGCATTTATTAATTTCTTAGATGATGTTACCAATTTAGCCTTGTATGGTGAAGTTTGAAGACCGTGTAGCTGTGTTCTTTGCATGACATGTGATTAGGAAGGATATTCAGGTAGAGGGAGAGTACTTCTGGAGCAGTAATTTCTTTTCTCCCACCTCAATAACTCCATAAAAAACATCCCAAAATAGTAATTACATCATTTTTGCCTCTCAAACGCAAAGTAAAAAGGGTGTTCTAAATGTTTGCAAAAGTAACATTGAGTAGATTTTTTGCCCACAGTGTTCAGAAAGTGAATATCTTTATCATAAATTGTCTTATTTATTCTTATGTTTTCTATAGGTCCTGGTTGATGCTCCTTGTTCAAATGACAGAAGTTGGCTGTTCTCTTCTGATATTCAGCAAGTTACTCTCAGGCTAATACAAAGGAAGGAGTTATCGTCTCTACAGTTCCAGCTACTGAGGTGAGAAGTGCAAAAGAAAGCTATTAAAGGGGCTTTTCATAACTAATAAAAACTATGTGGGTGCCAGATTTGTCAGTTTAATAACCAGAACCAGGTTTCACCATGTGAAAATAATGTGAAGAATATGTTGCTGCAGTGCTTTTTAGAATAAGCAATTGATCTAGGTTAACGTGAATATAAAAATTCATATGGAGTAATACAAACAGTGGGGGCTAGGTCCACTACTACTCTACTGGTGTAGTCTTCTTAACTCTTCTAATCACATATATGTCCATTTTCATGTGATTTGGAACAGTCTGGTACCATACAAAAATATTTTTGGTGGACACAGCTAAAGCAGTTGCAGATATATTTCTCAGCAGAAGCAAAAATATGCATATAATTTTAAATAGTGGTTTTTTTTAACTGTGCTGAGCTGGGCATTCTTCCCCAAATACTTTTTATTGTTGTTCTTTCATAGAATTATCCCTTATGCTTAATTTTTACAGTCTTTTTGATAACTGTCCTGTAAGTCAGGACTGGTTACCAACTGTCACTTAGTTCTTCAGTTAACGCTGCTGCAGAATTTGCTTTCTGGGCTGTTTATCTGAAGTGATGGGTCTGCTATTGCACTTTCTTACATGCTGCTTGAATTTGATACCCATTTGACTTATTTGTAGCACAGAAAGACTACTAATCCTAATTGGTAGGGTAAAAAAGCAAAAGAATGGGGTTTGATGGAGATGAGAGGATTATTTGCTTATTTTTCAAGAGCATCCACCCAATAATCCAAATCAAGGTTGTCATATATCACACTTTTAAACTATACCAGCCATGGGCTAGCATTTGTGCATTTGTGAAGTGTTTCAAACTTTACAGTTTTTCTTGTTGGAAAAAACAAAAAGTGACTTCCCAATGATACTGTCTAGACTTGAGTGGTTTTTGCAAAGTAACAGTCACGCCTGAAGTCCATCTGTCAAAGCAAATTGAGAGAAAAAGAACATATTATAAAAAAGCAAAAGTTTTTAGAGAAAGTTCCCATTGCAGCACTTCAAGATCGTTTTGCATGACTTCCATTTGAAAAAGGCCTAGCAGAAGCCTATGATTTATAACAGAAATACGAGTATCTTATTGCAGTAATGCATCATGTCACCCATTTCCTTTGAAGAAATCAATCACATTTAAAACACTGACCTGCTTCAGTTTTCCCTTTTCAATATTTGACATATAAAATCCAATTTGTGAACCCCCACCAAAAGAAAGCATATATCATGCAGAGAAATTTTGAGACTTTGCATAAATCACTCCCAATTGCAATCCTGACATGGAGAGCTCATGACAACAGGAACCTTGTTTTTTTAAAAACAAGGAGATATTCTTGTCAGCCCAAATCATATCTAATTTAATTAGTCCTAAATCAAGAAGGGAACTTTGCTCCTGTCAAAAGTATACTTTGCTACAGCAACAGCAATAAGAATGAGGTTTGTAAGGACAAAATACTTTTTGGTATGTACATTGTTTGGTATGTAAATTGAAGTAAAAGTAATTTCAATTTCATTGCTCAACATAGGCCTGAGTAGTTCTGTAGGTTGGCCAATATGTTGTTATTGGCACTGGATTTTTTTTTTTCTTTTAAAAGATTTTTGCAGCATGTGAAATTATAGTCAAAGAATCACTTTGGGTGGAAAAGACCTTAAAGATCATCAAGTCCAGCTGTTAACCCAGCACTGCTGAGTCCACTAAACCACATCTGTAAGCATCACATGTCTTTTAAATATCTGTATGGATGGTGACTCAACCACTTACCTGGGCAGCCTGTTCCAGCTTACCCAGGGCTTACCCAGTGCTTTAAGTCTTGTGGACATTTCTCATCTTGGTCATGTGTCTGTAACAAAACAAAACAAAAAGTATAAAGGTGGATCCTGGGAATTTTGTTGAGTGTAATACAAGAAATACTGTGTAAGATGAAGCTTAAAGGATTATTTGAGTTTAGCAGTAGTGTTAAGTATAAGACACAAATTAGAAGAATGGAAGACAAAGGGCAGTTCTATTTTCATGCCTATCAAATGATATTCAACCCAGAATTTTGAGTTCCCTCTTTCTTAATCAAGGAAGAGGTTTGGTCATGTGCTTTCTTTTTTTTTTTTTTTTTTTTTTAGCAGATCACCTTGGAAGGGGGAGCTGGGAACATCAGAGGGGAAGTGAAGGAAGGAGAAGTATTTTTTGCAGTACAAATTTATTAAGTACTTAAGAGGCTTTAGAGAATAAAGATCTTAAAGAAGTCTTGAAACTGATTCAGTGGTCTTCCTACTCCAGTCTGAACAAAATCCAAAATGTAAATAAGTGACACAAATGCTGAACAGCAAATTTTAAAGCAGAGAGGGCACCACTGATTTGAAGGAAATTAGGACTGTAATGATTGTTAATACCAAATCCAGATCATCCCTGCTGAGTGGTATAATCCAAGAACACACTGCAAATCTTGTTATTATTTGGAGCGTTCATGCAGAAAATGAATTGCGAAGTAAGAAAGGAATGTGCATTTCCTGATACTGAGTGCTAGCACAGAATGCAGTGGTTCCCTTAAGTGAATTTAGAAATGTTATCAGTTCTCAGATAGAAATTAAATTTTAGGTAAAGCTGGAGTGCATAATAACTTGGTGGTGAAACTGTTATGGATGTTGTAATTATTCCTAGACCAGTTACTGTGGCTGGAAGAAACTGTTAGGGTTCAGCTGACAGTAAATCCAACAGGATACAGTTTAAAAAATGCAGCAAAGGCATTCAGACTACTGTGACTCTTCTGTACATAACACTTCTCAGTAATTAAGCAGCTCTAATTGACGTTTAATAGAGTTCTGGTCCCCAGGAGCCGAGACTAACTTTGTTATAAAATATATATTGGCTGACTTCCCTTTTTCGCCACTTTTCCTCCCTAGTAAGCTACAAGGGAGATAGTTTTTGAATACTTAAGACATGCACAGACAAAACAGAGATTTAGAGGAATTTGGGGTGTATGAGAAGTTTGAAGGACTTTGAATATCTGTGCTTTCGGTTACTGGTGGCAAAATAAGCCATACAAAATGCTCATTTTCCTAGTTGATCTCTTTCAAGTTGTGTGCATTAAAGTTGGGTGGAGAAATACAGAAGACTCTTTATTTTTCCTAGTTAACTTAAGTGTTTCAATTCCTGTTTTGCTTACAAATGTGATGATATTTAAGGAACTCGGTCTGGTTCTGTGTAACATACGTAGCTCCTACTACACACCCTATGCAAGTGGAGTGCAATACTGAGGTAAAACAAGTGTTTCCCTCTGTACAAAGAATTTTTTGCCTTTTGATACGCTTCATAACATCGTAATTGAAGCTGCTGATCTTTTACAGAACAAGGGTACCAGAAGTTTTGCGGTTTGTTTTGGTTTTTTTTATTGAATAGTTTGGGAGGTAAGAGGATTTTGCCACATGCTTTTACTAGGGAAGTTAAAAAAACCCTTAACCCAGATATTCTGAACCTGTTTTTCTGAAATAAAGGGCACTTGAACCATTATTTAATGTTGTATTTAAGTTACCACGTGATGTGCAGGCAGCTTCATAAAGCTTTTGTTCTGTGTTTGTCTTGCTGCTTGAGTCCTGGACTTCTTCAAAGCAGAGACTGCTGCTCATGCAGCCACTTGGTATGGTGGTTTACCAGTCTGAACATGTGGAAAGTAAAATGAGATTGGCATTTTCTCTTAAGTCATCATGTAGAGTTGGCAACCTAAATCTCTAGAGGTTAATCTGTGCCACAGGACCCAGTTTATTTTCTCAAGTCCAGATCTTTTAAATTGTATCTTATTAGAATCAGTGTTAAAGCTTTTGGTAAAAACATAGGACAGAAATACATTTTAATTTAGAAGCTGCTCTGTTTTCTCTGCTATTTGAAAATTAGTGACATGGTTTCATAGAATACATTCACAGATTTTCATCACCAATTTATTTGTTGGAAAAGAGGTTTTTTCACATAGTGAATGCTGTTATTTACCAGGAAAATCTTGATGCTCCTCCTCCTGCATTCAGTATCAACTTTGTGTTTTCACTGATACTAGATTTCCACAAGCACCTAGAAGAGGAATTGTGTGCTCTTCATTGTGAGGGGTTCTTGTAGAGTGGAGGCGAAAATTGTTTTTTCATAAATACACCATCATATAGTTTGGGTACCAGTATATGGTACCAGTGTACCATTTCTGCTTTGATTAAGACTAGAGTCTTTACAACATGAGGATGTAACAATGAAGGAAAAAGGAATAGCTCACCATTCACTAGTTGTACTGTCCAGACAAATTGATTCAGTTTTGCTTATGATTTTCTGCTGATGAAAAAAAAAATAAAAATCTCAGCTTTTAATGTTCATTAAAAAGGCAAAGCGAACCAGTGACTTGAGCCTATAGGAAAGTTACCATTGTTGAAATTACTTGAGTTGGTTTAGTGTCAGGCATTAAAAGGTTGGCAAGCCTGAATGCCACAGGGCAAGGAGAACAACAAGGGAGTCCGTTAAGAGATATGGCAGCCATCTTGTGCCACAGATTTCTGTGCCAGAGAGTGCTGGACTGCTGCGTAGGAGCTCCATACGTGGAATTCAGGGATGTTTTGCAGTGACCTGAGAGAGTTCTGAACAGTGGCACTGGAGGGGGAGTGGTGAACTGAGGGAGGAAGTGAAGTGAATGCCGTTTTCTGTGGAGAAGGGAAAGAAGACACATAGGAAGGTTGGGAAAACTGCACTGTGGGTTGCTTGTCTAAACTGTTTATCACTGAATCACAGAATCACCGAGGTTGGAAAAAACCTTTAAGATCATCAAGTCCAGCCTATGATCAACACCACCACATCAGCTGGACCATAACACTAAGTGCCACATCCAGGGACGGTGCTGCTGCCACTTCCCTGGGAAGTCCATTCCAATGTCTAAGAACTCTCTCCGTGAGGAAGTACTTCCTAATATCCAACCTAAACCTCCCCTGGAGTAGCTTCAGGCCATGCCCTCATGT